TGGCCCTCCTCTGAACCCTCTCCAGGCTGGCTACATTCCTCTTGAAGTGCAGTGCCCAGTACTGGACGCAGTACTCCAACTGCGACCTGACCAAAGTCGCATAGAGGGGGAGTATCACCTCTCTGGACCGGCTTGAGATGCATCTTTGTATGCATGACAAGGTATGGCTGGCCTTGCTGGCTGCGGTCTGGCATTGGCGGCTCACATTCATCTTGGAGATCAACACTTGTGCAGATCACAGTGTAACATGTAACAAGGCCCTGAGCCTAAAAACTCTCTCTGACTGTCCCTTGCCTGCACAGCTGTGACTCGGCACTAGACAGCTGGTGAGCAGGGGCCTGACTAGAAGCTACAGTGGTGAGTTGCCACTGCAGAGCTGGTGGGCCAGGACAAGTTTCTATCCCTGCTCTAGGTTGGGGTGTGTGAGAGATGGAGTGGGGGTAGGAACATGAACTTTGGAAGCAGAGAGTTGATGGGATGGTGTGCGTAATACTATGGGAGCGGGAAAGGAAATGGGGGTGGGGGAAGGGTGGTGAAATGAAAAAAGTCAGCCACTGAAAAATAAAATAAATAGTAGTACAAAAATAAATACAAAACTGAAGAGAAAATAAAGTAAAGAAGGTCCCATGTTTTAATAAACTGGGATTGTGGGGTGGGGTAGCTTCTCGTGTTTCCCAAGGTGCCGAGGATGTGGTAGTAGTGAGGGAAGGCACATTTGGGATTGCTTTTGGCCCTACCCTGGAAGGGAAGCCCCAGCTCATAGGGACTCAATCTGGCTTCCTACCTTGTTCCCCCCATACCCTGACAGACTCCACTCTTGGCTAGCTGGCATGTGCTGTGCAGACTGCTTGCATGGGGTTGCAACCCTGGAGGTGGGAAGGTCACACCTTTGGGAGCAGGAGGGGGAGCTGACTTGGTGCCAATACAGCCCCTTGGTAGTAGAGTTCAGGGGATACAATGTTTGTACACACAGAAGAAGAGGGTGGAGAAGGGGACATTGCATCCTGGGATGCTGGTGGACTGCAACTTGGGCACCTCATCTGTGGGGAGTGGCCACACATAATGGAACACGAGCTGGGTATTATGAATTGGAGATAAACCTGTCCTCAAGTGGTGTAACCTTCAGCTGCCTAAAGCATGCTTAAAAATAATTTCAGTTGTTAGTATATGGACACTCCAGGAGTTAAGAGCTCCAGGAGCCATCTAAAATTAATGTGCAACAGGGCCCCAAGAGCACTCTTTCTACAGCATAAGCACTCTTTTATTCCCTCCCTTTTATTTATCTAGTTCAATACTGAGTCAAAGTCCATGGAAGTCAGGGCAGTCTGTGGACTCGCAGGTAATGAGCTATAAATGCTATTTACTGCACTTCTATCAATAAGACTCTGGAAGCCTCAACTCCCCTGACTTGTACACGTACCTGTTTATCCTGCATAGTGGGTGTTACCTGAACATGTTCGTGTGATTGAATACAACGCTAAGCTTTTATTCCATGCACTGGAGCTGGCACTGATGGTTTCTGTGTTTAGGATTTTGGTGTAATGTTTGGTTTTGCTGCTTCTACTTCATCTACCCTAAAGCTTCCTGTTCTTGTTTTTGATCTAATAAATGTGACCAGGATCTGAAAAGAATTGGAGGGCTTGGGTTCTGTTCTGCGACTTGGTGAAGTTTAACATTAGCAAGTGTTTAAAATGAAGTGTTTTGGTCATCAAAACAATTTCTTGCATTACAGAGTAAGGTAAACATTCCTATGCTGCTGACATCTAAAAGGAGAAAGGCTTTGCCAGACAAACTTGATTTTCTAGAAAGAATAGGAAATACTAAAGCTGCTGTTTCAAAGAACTTGACCCTGGCAGGCCACTGATTCAGGCCTGTTTATTTTTGGCAGCTGCTTTCCCGAGACATTTGAAAACTGTGCAGTTTCATATTATTTTAAGTAAATAAGTGAGGTTTGGGCATGAGAAGACATGGCCCCAACCATCAAAGTGATACCTGCTGATAACTGCTGTAAAGGTCCCATTTGCCACTCTCCAATTCACAACATATTTCTCTATGCACAGTGCTGCCATCTATCACACACTGCCTCCTGGTTTAAGTAGGGGATTGAACTAAATGATCTCTCGAGGTCCTTCTGGCCTTTTCTTTCTGTGACTCTGTATGAGCTTATCATTTCAGGAGGCCTGGTCTTTTACTGGCATGAAGCTGAGGAAAAATGTGTTGCTATGTCTATTCTTCAAACAGGCTTATTTGCTATGGTGAACTTTTCGTCTTCGTGAACAGGCCTTGGCTTTCACTGCATGTGCACATTGCCCTTTTGCAGGATGATCCAGTAATATCTCGATATTATTGCATTCAAAGGTTTCAAAGATGATATCTAGCATGTATGTCCAAGTTTGGCAAGCGTTGAACAATGCGATCACGTTGTGAATTGGAAGTTTTCCTTAATCTGTCTCCAGAAAGCTGCAGCAATGTCTCACTTATATACACGATAGTGAACCGCTTTTGGAACAACACCTGATTGCAATTTACTTTAGTAGAAGGAAGAGGTTTTGATTCATTCCTTTCTTTAGTGGTTTGCCCAGTTGCATTTATAGCCACATTTTTCCTCCTGACAAGTTTTGCCATTTACTTATATAAACTGGGTAAGATTCCCAAGATCTTTAGGGTAAGATTCTCTAAAGTGACTAGCAATTTTGCAAGCCCACCTGAAGCTCCTTTTAAAAGTGTAAAAAACCCCCCATTTCTGGAAATTAGACCTCTTTAGGACATCTCCTTGTAGGTACCCAAGAACTAAAGTACTACCAATGTTTACTTGTTTTGGAAAATGTTGATGTGGGAATGTAAAAACCTGAATATTACAAACTCCCATGGAGTAGAAAGATTTCCCCTGTCCTCCGCATGATGAGTGTAAGAGCAGCATTTGTAGACAGTGGTTAGATGAGTACTTTACCAAGAGCACTCCCTGCTCTTCTCTAAGCTTTTTCACCATTTGTCTTTGGCTTGTCAAACCACCTTCTTTGCCTTTTCATTTGTATAATGTGCATTCATTTTTAGAGGTAATGGTGCTTTTTCACCTCTACTTATAATGCTATGTAGAGCCTTTATTTTACATTCACCTTCCAAATCTCCTCTCCTAATTAGCTGGGCACTTGATTTGGGGTGGGTGAACAATCTGGGTTCCACTGCTGGCATTTTGAAGTCTCTGTACAATCCTGGGTTCCTCTGCTCTCATTCTGAAGTCCCTCTGGACTTCAGGCAGCCACAGCTAGCAAGCCACAATCTTGGAAAGGAATCTGTGTATGCATAGGTAAGCATTCGTCTGAGCCCCATCCATGTCTTTGCTGATGCAGGGCCTGGCATTATCAGTGCCTACAGTGATTTGTGTCATCAAAATTGCAGTTGCTATAGGTATTAGTATTAAATGGACACTGGGCATGTCTACATGAAATGCTAACTGTGCAGTAGCCTGATAATACTGCGCAGTAGCACATCACAGCTAGAGTGGCCATCATAGAGGACATTCCAGTTTTCTGTTGCTCTGTCCTCTATTGATACAAAACCAAATGCCTTTATGTCCTGTATTTTTCTCTTCTAGAGAATAATAGAGGACATAAAGGCATCTGGTTTTGTATCAATAGAGGACAACCGGACTGTCCTCTATGATGGCCACCCTTATCACAGCACAAACAGTGCTAATATGCTACTGCACTGTATTATTAGGCCACTGTGCAGTGGCTTCATTAAAAAGGCACCGCTGCACATTTAATGAATGGGTAGACATGCCCACTAAGTTTAAACCTAGATCATCATTGTAAGACTTGTGTAGCAAGGTGCATGGGAACAGTTTTTATTTAGCACTAAGCATTTGTTATTTGCTGTCTGTCTTTTCAGACACTGGACAGACTTGATAATCATTCATCCATAAACGCAGAGGATTATGATGAGATTAATGGTGAAATTGGACTTCCTGTGATGCCCAGGGAATGCTCATTTTGAAATTTGGGCAACTGACCGCTGCTCAGGGAGGAAGGAGATAGGCCCTAAAGATTGTGTTCAGAGGAGGAGACATTTCTGAAACAGAAGCCAAAGCAGCAGGAGCCTTGATGCATCCAGACCACAGCTGGCCAGCTCCCAATGGGAGGGGAGGTGTCCCAGAGGCAGAGGCTATGTTGTAGACTTGGGCAGGACACTGGTGCTTCTGTAATAGAGGAAGACAAAAGCCTGGGATCCAGGTGAGAGACTTCTGACCCTGACTTGTTGCGGGATGCCAGGCTTACAGTAAGCAGTGGTAGCTGCACATCTCCAGCTGCCTATTCCTTTGCAGCCAGCTCACCCTAGGTAGGGATCTCCTGGCTGACAGTGGGTGCAACTCCTTTACCTGGATGAGACTCTCCCCTGTCTGGGCACCAGGGTTTTGCCATTGCCTGGCCTCTCTAGCTGCAGTTTTCTTCTTAAACTAACAGAAGCCCCCAGCTCTGTTATAGTTAGCACTGCAGTAAGAGGGCAGAAAGGCGCAAATGCTCATGCATGGGACTGTACACTCAATCCACTGTGCTAAAGTGGAGAGTAATCTGGGAAAGGTAATGTATCAAGGGTTTTGGTTTTTTTGAAAAATGGGATTAGCAAATTGTTCCCCAAAACTTGGTTTAATCTGTTATGGCTGGATTTCATGGGCTTGCTCACCTTGAGTAAAACATGGACTGTCATTGCCTGTCTCAGTGTAATCATCATGAGTAAAGAGCAAAAATAATATTGTCCTGATCATACAAGAGGCTGGCTGCAGTCAAATGTGTCTGACTGAGAATATACCAGCGATGCATCCTGATGGTCAAGTTGTTGAGAGACACTTGATTCACCTGCTTGTGAGTGGGGTGGATGAGAAGGAATTATTTTACTTCTAGGTGACACTTCATTCCCTCTATAAAAGGCACAATATTTTATACTGTATTACATACTCACTTTGGATGTTCCATTGCATTTTAGTTTTGTTTGCTGATGGAAATGATGGAAAACTGAAGCAGCCAAATAAGCGACTTGCTCTTGCATGCCCTCGACGATCTCACCCAGGAAAACTTCAAAAGGTTTAAAGACAAATCATTACACATTGACTTTAAAGGGAAAGATAAAAGGAAAGATAAAATTCCCTGAGGGCATCTGGAAAACGCTGACAGGATAGATACTACGAACCTCCTTATACAATTCTATGCTGGAGATGATGCAGTTGATGTGAGTATAGAAGACTTCATTCTGATCAATCTCAGAGATGCTGCTGCCAAACTAAGAGAAGGGAAGGAAGGTAAGAAGCATATTGTATTGAACATCCATGATTCTTTCACCAGGACTCTGTTCACTCGCTTATCAGAAGACAAACAATAATCAGTGATGTCAGTCGTGTTTGGCTTCTGGGTGTGTCAGAGGGGATTTTATTCCCCTAACTGATACTTGGTAATGGATACAGCTAGTTTATGCAGTACATTCTTGCTCAACTATACATTAGTTGATGTAAATGTCCATTCCTGTATAATACACATTGCCTATTACTATTATGATAATACAATTAATATATTAACTAGTTTGTTGGGACTTAAGGTCGTTATCCCACTCTCAATCCTATTTACTGTTTCTTGAACACACCCCACACAAAAGTTTCTCTTTGGCTGCACTCAGACAGGATCTCCCTCTGTTCCGCTGAGGTTGGAGCCACTTCATTTTGCAAAGTGCACGAGTCACGAACAGAAGCGGGCAGAGGTTGGCCTCAAGCACAGATCTTCCTCACACTCCCCAAACTGAAAACTCTTCTGATGACAGCTGACAGCAGTGTCCTTTGCACTGGGCTGGATAGGAATTAGTATTCGCATGTCACAAGCCTTTTTTCCTCTCAGGAATGATGCCAAACACATTTAAATGGGACAGACCCATCTTCTGTCAGTCCCTTCCTTCTCTTGGCATGTCCTTATGGCAGAGGCTCAGTGCGCTCCCCTGGGGGATGGTTGCTCTGAATTTGCTAGAACAGGAACTTCATTCTGTCTCCCAGGTCATAGGGGAGCACCCGAAACATGGGCTACTGGCCTTTCCGGAGTGTCTTCGTCTTTCTGGCTTTAACCAAACTCTATTTCCTGGTTGTAACCAAAGACTGCTTCCTGGACCTGAGAAATCTTCCCTCAGAAAATAGGCACACGAATCCATGTAGAAAGTTTCAGACTGGTAAATTAACATTCTCCAACAAGTAGCCGTTTTCAATCATTCCCAGCCTGCTCTCCTCTTCAGTGATTGCCTCTTTAATCCCAAAATACAAGTCAGTCCCTAGGTGGCTTTACACATAACATAAATGCACCCCTGCTCCCTGCTCCCCTGCCGGAGGGGGATCCTTGGCTGTCAAGACTACTGGTCAGGGACCCAGGTCCACAGCCCACTGCCCCTGGCAGGAGGTGGCAGGTGCTGCAGTGGAGCAGAGCCTGGATCCCCCCTGCTGCCTGCCTGCTGTGGGCTCAGGGGGATGCTGGGCCAGCTCCTCGCTTCAGCGTGCACTTCCCAGGAGGACAGAGGGACTCGTGCCCCCCAGATCTGTGCATGGGGTGGGGGCAGACTGTGAACATGGTCTCCTGCCCAGTTGCCCTCCCCCGGCGCTTCTGCAACCCAGCAGGCACAACCTGGTGTTGCAGGGAACAGTGGAGCCAGATGAAGAAACTGCTTGCTGCTGCGAGCTCTGCACTGCCCGGGCAATGTCCCTCCTGTGCGTACGGCTGCAATGAGGGCAGTGTCGCGGGGTTGTGCCGCTTGAAGCTGCCATGCACAAAGGGAATGTGTCGTCCAGGCAGTGCAGAGCTTGCAGTGGCAAGCAACTTTCCTGTGCAGCTGTGCTCTGCTGTGCTGTGCTAGGTCATGCCTGTCAGCTCCAGGGGAGGGCAGCCCGGTGGGAGCCTTCGGCTGCAGCAGGCAGCCTGTGCCCATCACCACCCCAGCCCCATGCACAGATCTGAGGGGCACAGGCTCCCTCTTCCCACCAGGGACTTCAAGCTGCAGTGGTGAACTGGCCCTGCCCACCCCCTGCGCCACAGACTAGCTGGCCGTGGCCCTGTCCCACTCCCCCCTGGTGTCTGCAGCTGCTCATTGTGGCCTCAAGCCCCATGCACTGCTCGGTTCGGCAGCAGCCCCAGCCCCAGCCCTGCCCAGCTCCCTCCCTCCCTCCCTATGTGGGCCTCAATTTCCTCCCCACCCCACTGCACTTACCTGCAGAAACTGTAAGTCTGCCAGCAGGAACTCTGACTGCAAAATCCATGGGTTTCTTCCTCTAAAATGAGAAATCCACGTTTTACTCTGTTTTTTCATGAGAAACAGAAAACCTGGATCCCTGATAATAAGTAATGTCAGTCATATTTGCCTTTTGGCTGGGTGTACCATTCTTGATCACTTTTGGAATACTTTCTGTAGAAGCTCATGTCTGTATAATGTGGATTGTCTAATAATATCTAGTGGTATATTAGTAGGGGACAGGCCCCTTTCTCCCCACCCTATTTGCTTTCTCTTGAATATATCCTGCCCAAGAAGTTCCCCTGTGCCTGCCCTCAAAATGGCTCTCCATGTGCTCCCCTGAGGTTGGAGCTGACTTACTGTAAACTGCAAATGAATCATGAACAGACCCAGGCAGAGACAGGCCCCAGGCACAGAAATTTCTTAACTGCATGCTCCACAATGAATCACAGCCAGGGACAGCTGGCAGCAGCACTGTTTTCACACACCAAATACCTTGTTACATATCAAGACAGTGCCAAACCCTTTGAAATGGGAAACCCCTAGCCCACTGCCAAACCCTTTCAAATGGGATACCCCTAGCCCAGGGGTTGTCAGCTGTGGGTACGCATACCCCCAGGGGCAGTTAGACAGGTCATAGTGGGTACATGTGGTTGGGAGGGAAGGAACAGTGTGTTCCCCAGGGCGCAGTGGCAACATCTCCCCTGGCCCATTCACCTCTTCTCCAGGGGAGGGGGAGAGGGAGGTGAACGCTGGGCAGGGCCAGCCCCATGCAGCATACCACAGCACCTCCCCACCCCAACCTGTCTGAATGATGGGGGGTGGAGAGGCATGTTTCCTGCCCGTCCCTGGTGACATGTTATTGGCTGGGCGCAAGGCCGCATGCGAGCCCCCACTCATTCAGCCCCCTTTCTCAGCACCAGCACTATGTGTTCCCCTGGGAGGACATAGGAGTTGCGTGATCCTGGATCAGCACATGGGGCAGGGTGGGCTGCAGGCTGCTGCAGGTTGGGGCCAGGGCAGAGCTGGGCTGTTTCCGGTGCAAGTGTTGAGCCAGGCTGTGCTGGGAAGGGATTACGGGGGCTATGGTGAATTTTGGGGTGGCTGCAGCCCCTCCTGTAGCCCCCTCCCAGCGCCTTTGCCGCCTGCCCAAAGCGCAGCCTGCCCCCATCCCCCACCAGGAAAAGCCCTCCCCCACAGTGCAGGGGGGAAAGGGGCAGGGACAGGGGCAAATCTGCCGCTGATCCACTCCCTCCTGCACCGTGGGTGTTGTCCCACGACCTAGCCCAACCAGGCCCCATTCTCGGTGAATGAGGCAAAAGCCAGGCCAAGTCGTGGGACAGTCGGAGCCCAGCGGCTCATTCAGGGGTGCAGGCAGGGGTAATGTCAGTCATATTTGGTTCTTGGCTGAGTGTACCATTCTTGATCACTTTTGGAATAATTTCTGTAAAAGCCCATGTCTATATAATGTGGATTGCCTAATTCTAATGTCATAAAAGCCCAAGTCTGTCTGTCTGTCTGTAATGCTTTATTCACGCTCTGATTGGCTGATAAACAGCCAATCAGAGCACGAAGAAGCATTCTGACAGGTGGCAGCCCATCACCATGATGATGAGGACACAGGGGACGGAACTGGGGGTGGGGGAGAGGGCCGAGGCCAGCGCCTTGTTCCCTGGAGGCAGCGACAACAAAGTGGGTGGAAGTGGGGGGTGAGGCCTGAGAGTGGGCCTGAGCAGGGGAACAGCAGTGGCAGGAGGAGGGGAGGAGTGGGGCCAAGGACCCTGACCCAAAGAAGGTGTGAAAAGAGCTGGAGCGCTGAAACTAGGTCCAGCACAGTGGGCCTGGGCTAGGAGGCCCAGTGAGTGGAAAGGTGTGGAGACCACAAGGCCAAGGCTGCAGGAAGGTTGAGTGATTAGACGACAACATCTGTGAGGCATGACTGTGGCTACAGGGAAGGTCAGAGGCCACAGATTTTTATTTTAAGACTCTTAGTATGCTTGGGCATAGCTTGTTAGTGGATGAGGGTGCTTTCTGGCACCCCCGGGCAGCCTCCCTTTTCCAAGTTAAAGAATTGCATCAAGGTGGGAAGAAGGGGAGGGTATCCGGTAATCCAGGGGGAAGCAGGACCTGTGTGGCCACCAGGGGGAGTCACAGCCACCCCTTGAGCCTGGAGCTTGCTACACAGTGTCCCCATCTAAAACGAATGTGCTATTTGCTTCTGGATCCTCCAGTACATCTGGCATTGAACATTGTTTTGTTTTGGAAGATTTGCATTGAACTAAAGCTGTTCTATAAGGCTAAGGTAATGTATGATCGCATCTTATAAAAGGGCATTAATTGTTGAAAAAATATAATTAAAAGTAATCCATGGAGATTAACAAGCATGTTTGATGTGTGTGTATGTGTGTGGTGCATATGTGTTTTGTTTTCTTTTGTATTTCAGGGAAGAACCAAAGCATTCGCCTATTTACCCGCTCTGTCAAGCATTGAAGGATTCAAACTGTAAACCAAAGAAGTTACAGTATGTAATTTCTTTCCTTTTAAAATATCTTCTTACTACTGCTGTTGTTCTAGATATTCTATAGCTGGACCCAGTACTGTTGTGACCTTACTTGAGCTGAATGAAAGGATTATTTTATTATACATCTAGCATGCCATGCTCCTGTTATTACATATCAGGGTGATGTTGGTGCCCCACCCCTTCCCTTTTTATGTAATAGTTTTATATTTCTTTCATTTATGTTCAGACTCTACTACACTTGTCCTTTTAATAAGGACAAGTGCAAAATCCTGCACTTAGGAAGGAACAATCCCATGCACCAGAACCGGCTGGGAACCAACTGGCTAAGCCACAGCTCTGTAGAAAAGCACCTGGGGCTAACAGTGGGCAATAAGATGAATATGAGCTAACAGTGTGCCCTTGTTGTGCAGAAAGCTAATGGCATACTGGGCTGCATTAGCAGGAGAGTTCTCAGGAGATTGAGGGAAAGTATTATTCCCCTGTATTTGGTATGGGTGACCACATCTGGAGTATTGGACCCAGCTTTGGGCTCCCCATTACAGAAAGGATGTTGACTAGGGTTTCCCTCACTGTGTCCTCTTTTTGGGTCCTCACATCTCCATCCGGGCACCTTTTAAAAATATCAGTAAATGCCCAGGAATTTGCTGCGCCTCTCCTTTCTGGGTACGTCCCAGCTTGCCCCAACAAGGAGTTGCTTGGGGCAGGGTGATTGGAGGCCAGGACATCCAGTGGATCTGTGCATGGGTGGGCAGCTGCAGACAGGCAAGTGTGTGTGTGCACCCGCCCATTTGCGGGGGTGGGCATGTGTTCATGTTGGGGTGTGTTTGGGGACTCCTGAAGTTTAGAATATGGTATGAGATGGGAATAATTCTGGAATAGTTTAGTAAGGTGAAATCTAGCAAACATGTAGAAGGGTGGACTGAATGACCATCGCAGCCTTTTTCTACTCTGATTTTTATGAAATGTTTGAGACTTCCCATCTTTTCTGGCAAAGTGATCCCAATATCATCACATCTGAGGTTTGGGGGGTGAAATATCTACAAGCTGCAAAATCTTATTGCACTTCAGTGGGTAAAGAACTGTCATACTCCATTTTTTCTAGTGGACTTCTCTGGGGAAGGAAAAGTATCAATATGTAACAGCTATGGTTGGGAATTGTCTTGGAGGTACAAAGCTAACCTGTTCCAGGGTTACCTACTCAGCTGGTGGCTGTCAGCTCTCTCAGCAGTGCTTCTTTTTACTCTTCTGTTTTTTCCTTTATTCCCAGTAAAATTATGTCTGTAATCCCACCAGAGTCTCTAGACAAGCCCCTGCCAACAGGCTCCCAATTTGGCCCCTGTCAAGGGCTCTTCTTTTCCCCAAGTTTGGGCATCTTTCTTGCTTGGGGCCTCTTCCCCTTTCTATCTCTCTCCCACTCTAATCCCTGGTCTCAGTGGAAAAGTGGGTATGATGCTGCCCGTGCTGGGCTTGGCACCTGCTTCCCTGCTGACACTCAGGGCTGAGAGGTGCTGGGAGGGGCAGAGCCAGGAGATGGCTACATCCTGTAGGGAGAAGAAGAGCTAGTGTCGGGGATGTGGAGGAGCAGGGTCTCCAGCTCCCTTCTTGGAGCCTGGTTCTTCTGTTTTGTCAAGTATCTCCTCCAGCAGCCTCCCTGTAGCCACAGGACTTCTCTGATTGGGATCAATCATTTGAGGAGTGACCAGTGCCAAAGCAATCTGCTTGGTCAAGAGCTGATGGGGCAGGATGCAAAGGTCAGATTTTTGCCCATGCTGAGTTGTGGCTGGCCAGTGAATGGGTGTTTACAGACTAAGTTTGACCCTGGCCCTTATTTCTCATAGCTCACCAAGTGGAGCTTGCAGCTGAAAATGGGCCCTTCTCAGTGCTGATCATTCAAAGCTGAAACGCAAGCACTGGAGATAGAGCAGAAAGTTCCTTCAAGACTTGTTCATTGACAACGGAGCGGTCCTTAGCACAGGACCTAGGACGCTAACTGGTCTGGGAAAGGGGCTGTTGGGTGTGGTTACTTAGGATGGCTGTGCTGATTCCAGATTCGGATGTGATCTCTTCTGCCTGTTTCTTTCTCCTGCAGACTGCATTGGTTTGAACTCACAGAAGCTAGTTGGGAGGATCTTGCCACTGTGTTTTCCATCCACTGGAGCCTGATAGATTTGGATCTGTGTGGTACTTTAATGAAAATTCCTGTAATGAGGCAGCTGTGTGAGTGGGTGAAACATCCAAACTGCAAGTTACAAAGACTGAGGCAAGTATCACTTGACTTCTCTGCATTTATCAGGTCCTCTGCATATACAAGGCTTTACAGGTATGTGGTTGATTCCTGATGTCTACATCCAGCATTCACATAGGGGCACTGACAGTTAAATATCTGCCCACCGACTGCATCGGTGTTTCTCCACAGGCATTGTACCTGGCATGTCTTGAAACTGGGTACATGCTAATCCCACAACAGGCTTGTTTTTTGTAGTCGTCAGTCGGGCATTTCAGAAAAGTTGCCAAATGGATTCATTTGAACAATGAAAATATCACCATTTAATGGCTCTTTCTTTTCCCCTTTTTATTCTCACCAAAGGAGAGGATAAAAATGCCTGAACTGTCTTGTGGAAGGAATTGTAAAGTCCCCATCTCATGTTGCAGCAGGTAGAAGCTACAACCCACTGTGATAGAGACATATGCCCAGATGTGGCAAAATGCACCATTTTCCAGGGATTTCTTTTCTCAGGGCAGTCAGAGCTCCATTCATTTTCCTTCCCACTGTTCTGGGAGCCACTACTTGGCTGCAGGCCCCCCCCCGCTGAGGACACCTGCAGTTTTCTGTCTCTTCCTGAGGAGAGAGCCAGAGAAAAGTGATGTCTGTTTGCAGTAGACTAATGGAGATGCAGGAGCTCGTTCCTTTTAGTGATGGTCAGTAGCTGAAGGTTTCTACTCATCCCTGCAGAGGTTCTCATTGTAATGGTGGATCTTCCTCATTATCATTACTGCTCCTTCTCGCCCTCAGGGGGTGGCGGGGAAATGACTATATCACTGATGGTGGCATGGGAGGGAGGCAGCACTGAGACAAGATGCACAGGGATAAGGTGCTCGTTTTCCTGCTGTGCTGCTCTAACAAACTTGCTGTGAGATCTGCCAGCCCATGGAAGAGCTGGCAAGGAGAAATGGTGTAAGTTCCCTGATGTGGCCGCATCCAGACGAGAGCGGTCATGCAGTAAGTGGCAATGCAAACACCTCTGCGGTGCCACATACCACACATTTTAGATGTTCTCTAAGCTGCCTGTGTGTGCTGCTCTGCTCTTTTGTCCTGCAGGTTTGGTTTTGTGTTTGGGGGGGTTGTGTGTTAACCCCTGCATATCCAGGGCCCAAAAAAACATGGAGCAGTTCCATGCATGGGCAGTAGTTGCTGCTCGAGAGTAGAGCTCAGCTGCCTGGCACCATGCTCCAAGTGCCAGCCAGGCTCTGTGCAGCAGAATCCCCACTTCTGCAGCCCCAGGAGGCCCCGAAGACCCCAGGTAAGGCTGCTGGCCCCAGCACAGTGCTGGCCTCAGCCTCCCCTGCTACTCCCAGGGTAACTTTCTGCACACCAAAATGCAGGTGGAAGGGGCATTCTCTGGGGACAAGTAGCAGCACTGCCACTACTTGTGCCCAGGGCCCCAAACATCCAGGCTTGTCTAGATATGTCCCATGGTTCCAAACTAGAAAATATACTGTAAGGGGAAAATCCTCCACTGGAATACTTCATGAGCCTGGCTTCTGACTCCAGTTTCATCTCTGCTAGTCTGCAATGGGTTTTGCTGTACTGTGCTATAGATAGGCTTGGTAGAATTCAATCTCTTTTTTTTTTTTTTTAATCCATAAACTTCAATGAACAATGATGTCAGTTCACTCTCACAGGCTGATGGAAAGCTATTTCTATTGGTAATAATCAACATTTATAGAAAAGGGACTGTAAAAGGGAACTCTTACCCCTGTTAGTGGAGAGAGAGAGGGCAGAGAGATATAAGAGGAAAACCTTGCAGCCTAATGACTCATTTATTAAGCAGTTAGCTGCCCCTTCCTGCCTAATGATGCAGCAATTAAACAATTAGTTGCTCCTTCACACCTGCAGGAAGCAGCTGGAGGGAGATAACAGGCTCTAAAATCCTTACTCAGAGGGCAGGGTAGGGCGTAGGGAATATTTAAGGCTCCAGCCCAGTGACAGCAGGGTCTTGCACCGGCCAGCCAGGGCTGACTAAACCTTGGGGGTTGAGGGCTGTAGCTGCTTCTGTCCCCAACCCATGGTCCTGGAGCTGTGGGAGTACCCATGAGACTCTTTCCTGATGAATGAACAAAATGATTTAAAGCAGCTGTGATTTAGTGATTTATGGATATTTACTATGTATATTTTCATATGTGATTTAAAAAAAAAGAGATTTTTTTTTTTATCAGTATACTCTTGTTACTAAATTGTCTGCCCCCCACACCCCTAATGTCACCCAAACCTGAAACTGCCAATGGCTATAAAGCAAAAATAAATGCTTAAAAATCAACATGCATTTTAGCCATCAGAATTATTAAAAAATAAAAGTTGAATTCTGCCAAGCCTAGATCTAGATTTTGGATTTCTCAAGAATGCAGTAGTAGCGGACCACTGCTTGCCAATACCACCAAACACTGAAAGGCAAGTACTACAAAAAGAGGCAAACTGTGACTCATGAGGCTGGGATGTCTGCCTCCTCTGTTGCCCCCAAAGGCAGAGCAATGATGTTTTCCCTGGGACAAGGAAGAGAACAGGCTTTACTGGTTAATTTTGGACATGTATAATAAAAATCACAGGAAAGAAGGGCTGGAAGGGACCTCTCAATGTCCCCTGATCAAGGCAGGACCATCCCTGACTAAACCACCCCAGCCCAGTGTATGTCCTTTCATGGAAATGGAAGTTTGGAATGCAGAACTCCATTCATGGAGTTCTGCAACTTCTCTAGGTAGCCTTTTCCAGTGTTTGACCACGCTCATAGTCAGCAACTTCTTCATAACCTCCAACCTCAATTTCCTCTTTTACAGCTTGAGTTCATTGCTCCTAGTCCTGTCCTCCCTATGGCCACAGAGAAAATCCCATCTCCATCCACTCTATGATTACTATTTGGGTATTTTGAAGACTGGTATTGTTACTGGGGAAAAATATAAGAGTATTGCGTGGGCATCCAGGGGACAGCCCTCTCTTCTCTAGTCTAAGTAACCTTAGTTCTTTTGACTTGTCCTCATAACTCATGCTTCCCAGGTTTGTAACCTTTCTGTTGCTCTTTTTGGACTTTTTCTAGTTGTCCACATCCATCTTGAAGTGCAAGGCCAAAAACTGGACTCCAGGGGTGGCTTCACCAGTGCTTAATAGAGTGAAAGAGACATTTCCCTTGATTTGTAGGTGACACTCCTATTAATACAACCCAGTATGCTGTGAGCTCCTTTTTTGTTGCAACAAGATGACACTGGTGGTGGAGGCAGTGTCAGGGGCACATGAACACCGCATGTCTCCAGAGGCTGGCGGGGCACAGCGAACTCCCACAGGCAGTGGTAGCGGCGGAGGCGTGGCGTCAGTGAGCAGCAAGCAGGTGGCCAGAGGGTTGTCGGGGTGATGAGTGGTGGGCTCTCTCAGCTGCCGGTGGTGGCATTGGCCAGCAGCGCTTTTTGCAGGGGTTGCACCGCCAAGATCAGGGGATGCATGTGCACCCATACGCATACCCTATGTGTCGCCAATCATAGGGCAAGTGGTGGGGGAGGCTGTAAGTGGACAGGTAGTAGAAGGAGCAGTGGGGGTAGGAAGTAGGGCACAGAAGATAGCTGGCAGGTAGTGTGGAGGAGGTGAAGGGACGGACAGATTGCCCCCTCCCCCGCTTAACCCCCTTGTATCTTCCCCCTCCCACCTTTGCAGCCTTCGGCCCCTTTCCCCCCCCCCCCCCACCCTTTTTTT